TAAAAATGTTTTCATAACCCCACTTTTGATCGCAGAATCCAAAAATATGAAAAAATATATACCTTAATTTCGACCATTCCACTGACCTCGGAAGCAATGCTCGACTGAGTCGCGAAGTCTCTCTTAAATCCAAACGAGACATTCTCTCTACCTCTCATTTGCAATTGAGGGCCCCTCCCCTCACGAATTCGATGTTTTCTTCGAAATCTTCGAAACTGAAGTAACCATACAGTTCAGTATCCCAAAATGTCATATTCCAGAATCCATCTCAGTTTGCTAAAAATTTAATATTTTTGGAGATTTTTGAAAAGATGTCTGAAAGCTCTAAAAAGCACCTTTTCCTAAATTTCACATTTTAATTAAAATTTTTAAGGTTGTCCATTTTAACAGACATGAAGCTATACTGAACAGAGTGTTCTGATCAGAATGAGATGTCCAACAGGCTCGTAAGACTTCGTCTTGCAGAGTTATACTAACTTTTCTAAAGACGCTGAACTATAATTAACGAAGTAATGACGCCATTTCTTAGAATATGTTTTTGGAACAGCAAAGTTGTATCAACTCGTGGACGAGTCGTCGTAAAACCTTCATTATTTTTTTATTTTGAAGCAAAGGTATTTATCTAAGTTTGATCCACAGCGATTTTTGATTTTGATTTTTTGTGCAGAGATAAGCGGCAAATACTCCGCCGATTTATTTTCAGAGGTTTGACTTAAAATATATGTAGGGAATGAACGGAAGTAAAATTCAAAAAATATCAACAAAAAAAAGTTTGCTTCTTGTCACGCAATAACTCGGCAGCGCTTCAACGTTTCGATCTCGAATTCTTAGCATAAGCTAGTAGGACAGTAAGCATTAGTCACTAAAAATGCCATCGAAATCGGATGTAAGGTAAAAAAGTTTTTTCGTGAGGGTGTCCCCATAAGTAATTACAGAAGTTGACTGACACACAGACACACAAATATTTCTCTTTTCTAATGTCGAAGAAGAAATGATTTAAAATCTAAAAAGTACTGTCTTATAGGAATATTAAGACAACGACGATCACTAAGATGATAACAAAGACAATCAGTACAAGTACGAACCACTTAAAATGTAACGGAGTAGAATCTAACTGTTCGTGCCGGGCGAGTCAAGCTATTTTTCGAGTCGAGTCCGAGTCATTTCATAGCGATTTCGAGTCGAGTCAAGTGGAGTCACCAGTGTTTTCGAGTCGAGTCAATATTATTTTTCTATTTTTTCCCAGTACTATTTATTTTTATAGAGAACGTTAACTACAACTTTTCGATATTCGTTATCTATTTCTTAATTTTACATATATATATACTCTAATTAATTATATGTTCTTCACATTTATTCTACTTTTGTCTGACGAAGGCGTCTTTGATGTTGAAACGTAACAATAAAATAAAATAAGAAAGAGTATTCAGAAATAACCCAAATTTATACAAGAGGAAACGTATGTAAGCAGTTAATGAATAGCATTTTTTCCGAATGAATGACTCGAATCAAACAGCCGAGTCAACGTCTTCCAATTTTCGCGTCAGAGTCAAGTCAGAGTCATTAAAAAAATGCGACTCGAAGGACTCGGACTCGCCCAGCACTGTTCGTCACTATTGCAAATCCGATATATTCTTTTTCTCGGAAATTAGAAAGGAAATGAAAGTAAAGCGAAAAGAGGAACTGCTGTATCAAGTTTCTCGTTTAATTTATTGTCATATAATCCTTTTCATTCTGTACAATGTATAAAACAAAGTCAATCTAAATTGTCGATATTAGAATCCCAATTTTGAACGCAGAAAGAATTTCTAGAGTCAAAAGCGCACTCATTTTAATTCTCTCACGCTCCTTTTATTTCAAAATCAACTCTCAACCTTTATTACTACTACTACATTTAAATTGATTATTTTTCTTTGTAACTTTCCAATATTTATCAAATAATTCCTTGTAAGTTCCTTCCACACTTTCACTACTACTAACATACAGTTTCACCTGCTTACAAAATGAACCCAATTCCTTCCGTTCTTTCGACTGAATATCATCCAAGAGTTTACTGAAACGTTGTCCATTCAATTGTTTCAATTTACTCAGGAAATTCACGGGCTGTTTAAGAAAATTACTTCCAGATGTAAAATGATGACGACTCAGTTCCGTGGCGCCTAACTTTGCTTGGCCAAAATCAATAATATTGACTTCCAAAGTCGATAGATCGACAAGAATATTTCGTTCATTCATATCATCATGGTAAACTTGAACAGAGTCCATATTACAGACGATCGAAGCTGTTTGACAGGCAATAGAATTGAGTTCTGCAGGACCAAATTTATCGATAGTTTTCGAGAGTTCTTTGAAGTTAGTGAGGTATTGCATGGATAAGATTTTGTACTGCGTTGTTTCAACGTACGTCACATACTTTGGTACTGCTTGCACTTGTGCTTCAGTCAGTAGACGTAGAGCAACAGCTTCTCTCAATGCTTTTTCCTTTCCATTTCCGATTGAATTGATATCGATCTTCTGGTATCGTCCAATGGTATTAAAAGAAACGAAATCTAGCTTTTTATTTGGTTTTAACACTTTGACAGCAATTGGAAAGGGTGATTTGGAGGAGGGTGCAGCCTTTACAACGACACCGTAACTACCTGATCCAATATAATACTGTTTATCGAGACTAATGACACACTGTTCTTGAGAGGTAGAGTCAGCATGGCAGGGAGCTGTATTGAGTGTAATACCTTGGTCCTTCAGAAGTTTTAAATCGCTGAATGAAAGGGGAAACTCAGTTTCGACTACAGACGATGTTGAAGGAATGAATGAATGAACTGATTTACAACGTTCTTGTCGTTGTCTTTGCTCGATCTTACTGTCACCACATTTGCTGATGTCTTTTGATGTTTTTGATCTTTGACGCCCATATCGAGCTAGAGTAAAGAAAAAGGAAATTAACGATCTCGTAGACAAATATCACTTATATATGTCAGTAATACTTACGTAAACCGCCGAAGGTTGACATTGGTTTTGTTAAGAGAGAAAGTACTAAAAACAGTTGAACGACTAATATTTTCATTTCACACTGACGAAAGAAGAATTACTCTGTTGTTCTTTTATATACACAAGTCATTAGGTATCACAGAACCGTAGAAACACTCTCCTTTCTCTTTTCTTTTTTTGGAGCGATAGATACTGACAATACAACATATGGACAAAAAGAAATATATTATTCAGCATATATTATTCAGCATATATTATTCAACAGAGAAAGATGATTTTTATATATCAGATAATCAGTAACAGAAGGAGATAACTAGATCATACATACCTAAGTACTAGGAGAAAACATTAGTAATGATCTATTTTACTCCAGAGAAGGAGAAAAAAAATGGGGCAAAAAATGTAAGATATGTTTAGAAACAGAGCGTTTGCAGATGACATTACAAATCGACATTCACATTATCATAATAAATGTGATGCCAACTTCTAAATAATTCATTTTCTAAATCTTTTTTAGTTAAAGAACAAGTCCAAACAGTTTTCGTTTGTTTTTATTTGCGTTCTTTAGCTCGTATTGGGCTTTGATAAGAAATTGACGGAATTAAGAAACAAGAAATATGTACAAAGTACACAACACTAATAAAAATATTTGAGCTAGAAATGACTTGTTTAAAGAAAAAGTGTTTACTTTTCCTTCATTAATAATTATAGGTATAGCAAGCAACAGCGGCATCAGTTCAGAAAAAAGAAAAAATCATTTTCGCTATAAGAAATAATTTATTTGAGCCCAAATTTTTACTACATCGTTCATTGCTCTTAACTTTTTATTAAAAAAGATGTTTTTTTAGGTTTTTAGATCAAATTAAATTACTTGATTTTTCCATGAGCATGGAGCAACAAATTGAATCAAAGCTTGCAAATATGGCCAAAATTTTTAAAATAAGTATATTTTACAAGCACCAAACTGGAAAACAGATAAGTTTCACGTAAATCTCTGTATTTTATAAAGGATACAGTATTGGCAAAATTTTACTTAATCACAAACGAGTTGTTGATGTTGTTATTGTCTTTTTATGGTTGTTGTTGGTACCAGTTTCAACGAAATGGTTGTTGATTGTTCTAAAATAGAATAGTGTTCGAGTGCATAATACTAAGATAGAGGTTCATCAACTCAAAAAGAACATTTCCAGTCAATCCATGCAATCACATATTAGGAAGAATATAATTTTTGACTGGTTTCTCGAATTTCCCATTCCAGTACATATACTGGATGAAACGTTAAAAAGCAGAATCAAACTCCAGGGTGAGGATGTAAAGTTTGTATATTTTTTCGTTTGTTCTTATTATATTTTTTAATCCAAATTAATATAAGGTTTATAACCTGCAACTAAAGAGGTGTTAGACGGTGGCGGAATAAGTAAATCTAGCGATGAGTGTATCACTGGCGTTTATCAGATGGCTTGAGCAACTTCTCTAGTGACCGAATCCCGTATTAAAATTATAGTCGATGCTGCTGGTTGACCAGCTGCTACCGGAGTGAAATTCCATAACATTTTTTTTGCATTTTATTTCTCTTATAATTTTGGAACAGCAAAATATCCAGAGCTCTGAGGCATTCCGCACTAAAGAGAAAAAATTCCTAAAGACTTTGAGATGTTCCCGCACTCTACGCAATCTTTCGTTCAAAAACTATAAACAAAATACAAACACCGACTTTTAGTACAAAGCAGGTGTTTGTAGTTAAGTAAAAGTTATGTGATTGTTTCCAAACGGCTAAAAATCGACTCCCACTATTAGAACGGTAATCGTTATTCATTCGGGAAATATGATTCAAATCAGCTTTTGATGTACATTAATATTAAGAAATATATTATTCTACGTCAAGTCAACAGAGAAAGATGATTTTTATATGTCAGATAATCAGTAACAGAAGGAGATAACTAGATCATACATACCTGAGTACTAGAAGAAAATAATAGTAATGATCTATTCTACTCCAGAGAAGGAGAAAAAAAATGGGGCAAAAAATGTAAGATATGTTTAGAAACAGAGCGTTTGCAGATGACATTACAAATCGACATTCACATTATCATTATAAATGTGACGCCAACTTCTAAATAATTCATTTTCTAAATCTTTTTTAGTTAAACAAGTCCAAACAGTTTTCGTTTGTTTTTATTTGCGTTCTTTAGCTCGTATTGGGCTTTGATAAGAAATTGACGGAATTAAGAAACAAGAAATATGTACAAAGTACACAACACTAATAAAAATACAAACACCGACTTTAAGTACAAAGCAGGTGTTTGTAGTTAAGTAAAAGTTATGTGATTGTTTCCAAATGGCTAAAAATCGACTCCCACTATTGGGACGGTAATTGTTATTCATTCGGGAAATATGATTCAAATCAGCTTTTGATGTACATTAATATGATAATTATTGAAATAAAATTGAGTGATAAATGATGAAATGGCCTACATCAATCTCTCACT